TGGCAGGACCCTTTCCAACCTGTGGGCCAGCGCTTTACCTAGGATCTTAAAGTCGACGTTCAAAAGCGAAATTGGCCTGTATGACGCACACTCAGTTGGATCTTTCCCCTGTTTTGCAATTAAAGTTATGGAAGCATCGTGCCAGGAGGTTGGCAGTTTGCCCTGTGTGAATGCTTCAGGTAGAACTGAGTGGAGTAGAGGTACGAGCTGTGGGGCAAATGATTTGGAAAAATTCTACCGAAAAGCCATCTGGGCCAGGGGCCTTCCCTGACTGTAGAGAGAAAATTGCAGCGCAAATCTCTTTTTTGGAAAATGGCGCATCCAAGATCTCTCTGTGGGTGTCTGCCAGCTCAGGAAAGTCCAAGCTTTTAAGAAAATGTGTGATTGGTGAGTGGTCGGTGGGAGATAGCTCTGGCATTTCTGGCTGCATCCTCCTGTCGACGCACCTCCTCCACCATCATATTTCAACATTCGGTTACAGATGCCTTTTACCAGAAAGGTGTTACTGCTCCAAGACCAACCCTCCTCTGCCCTGTTGGACGTTGCCCACGATAGAGAAGAGCAGATTTGGCCTGTAGCACAGCCGTGGCTGGGGTTCACTTCCTCCCCGTTGCTAGGGTGGGAGCAGCGCCTCTCAGTCCCAGGAGTCTGTGAGTGATATCTCCAGCCTCACTTTTGCACATTTGAACTCCTCTGCTAGGTTAGGGATAGGCAATGACAGTATCCTGTCGCTGTAGAGTCCAACACTGCTTAGGCATTTCGGAAGTCCAAGCCACTTCCTCATGTAGGTGCTCACTAGCCTCTCCATTCGATTGGCATGATTAAGCGAGACCCTGTACATCATCAGTGGCCACAGTAGTCTGGGTAACAACCCAAACTGTAAGCACCAGAGCTTCAGTTTCTCTGGGAGTGTGGTGTTGTTAATCTGCCTGAGGTCATTAGCCATGTCATGCCGTATTTGGCCCATGTCAGTTGTTAGTTTTGACTAGCCACAAATGCAGTGCTGCAGCTTCTTTCCTACCAGCATTGATGGTCCAATAGTTGCAATGCTGGTTAATCTATTCATCGTTGATACCGTTCCAAGGTCCATTGCCATAAAATCTGTCTCAAAATGGTCTTCTTCCGTCCCCACTCTCACAGACCCAAGACGTGTCTTCTCCTTTGAAGTTTTTGTAGCAATATTGGGTTTACCAAAAAACGGTCTATCAGATTCTCAGGATTGTCTATTGTTGTTTGTTTGGTATTGTCTGCTCCTGGTCCCTCGTTTCCCTGTGTACATGTAAGGGTGTGTGTGCTGTGATGTTCGCGTTTTGCTGCCACACCAGGCCTTGAGAGTCTTCCCGCCTTAGAGCCAGCCACACCTGGAGTAATCACATTCAAATCAAATCAAATCAAATTCAAATTTTATTTGTCACATACACAGTCATACACAGTACGATATGCAGTAAAATGCTTACACAACTGCTCATGACCTAAAGAAAAAAAGAAAAGGCTATGAATAAGATAGGAAATAAATATGAAAATGAAAAAGGATAAATTTAACTAGGAAGGAATAAAATAAAATAAAATATAAAAATTAAAGTTAAAAATGAAATAACTGTACAACACAAATTAGAATGAAGGGTAAATTTAACTGGGAAAGAATAAGATAAAATATATAAGTTAAAGTTGAAAAGAAAATAACTGTACAATAAAATACACAATACACAGTATAGAAATATATAAGAATATATGAAGAAATATAAATATATATATACAATAACAGCAGCCGTACAAGTATTAAATGGAAATGAAGAATATAATGTCCAGTGTTGTGCAATCCACATTTGTAAGTGTCTTGTGCAGTGGAAATATCACCTATTACTGATCAGCCTTGTCAAGGAAGCACTACTTAAGAGAGTAGCGGAGCAGTGCTAGGCGCAGGTTCGTTGTATTAGGAACACAGTTCTCCTGCTCATAAGGTGAAGATGTACTAACTGAAGTGTCTCTTGTTTCCAGGAGGATTGCAGAAACGTGTGGCGGGAGCTGGGCACCTATGTACATAGACTCAGAGGATAGAGGAACATTTACTGTGGACCATGGAGGAAAATCACAGCATGAGAATTGAGGAACTGTCGCACAGAGAACTCACACACTGTGAATTATTAGTACTTTTGTTGATATTTTTTGCTGTAAATAAACACACTGTCTACATTCAGAAAGTCCTGCATTTGGGTCCTACTTCTGCCAAACCGTGACACTGTTGTTGGGACTGCTGTCCCCTTCCCCAGACTCAGAGGCGGAGCCAGACATTTGAAACACCCGGGGCTTAGCCCTAAAGGGTAGTATGCATGTGGGATTTTTTTTTTTTTTGGAGTGAGGAAGGAAGTGGGGTAGAAAATGACTGAAAGATTAATAGGCTCTGTTTTGAGTTTTGTTCAAAAAAGAATGACTTCATATAGGGAAAAATATATATCACATATGCAGGACACCTTAAACTAGTTTTTTAATTAAGCAGCAAGGCAGAACAAAGTCGGGGCTGTATCAAGACACGGGACTAAACCCCAATTCAACCAGACCCAGAACTGATCCGGAATTAAAACAGGACTACAACAGTTCAAAATCAGGACTACTGAGGATTTAACCAAGACAGAACCAGAATCAGAACTAGATGATAGTAGCACTAAAAATCATCATAGACCTGCACTACACTTATTTTTTAATTCTACCAAAGTCCACTATTTAGATTGAGAAAAGTTTATATAATTATTTAGCCTTGTTGTGCAAACAAGCCTGCATAACTTAATAAATATAGAATTTGAAAAATAGCAAACCTAAAAAGAAACACTAGGTACGAGATACATGAGTACCTATGATACGGTGATACTTTTGGTAAACACCATTTGACTAACATGTCTGTCTCACCTGCTCTTGTTCCATCTCTGTTCTGTCCTCTTCTCCATCTCCCTCTCTGTTCCTCTCTCTCCCCCTCTTTGTGCTGACAATCATCAAATATACAGTTGAAACCAGATATTTACAAACTCTTCAGATCAAAACACAAACACTTTTTTAATTGTAACATCAAATCAGACTAAATGTTTATTTTTTTAGATTGATAAATATAAAAAACATATTTGTTAACTTTAAGAGTAAAGAGAGAAACTATCTGTATTTCTTAATTGCAAATGGCACCAAATTGTATTCAAAATTGAGCCACACTTATGGAGCTCCACAGATTCTTTTCCTGGTGTTTTGGTTGACATCTCTTGATTTTCCCATGTCACAGAAACAGGCTCTGTGTTTTGCCTTATATGCATCCACAGCTGTGCCACCAATTTACTCACATGGACTCTACTAACCTATCAGAAGCTTCTTCAGCTCAGAATGGAATCGTCTGGAGTTTTCTTATTAATTAACAATAAACTTAGTGTATATGTACTCCTAAATTTGATGAAAGTGATAAAAATAGACAGCTCTGCTCTCTCTTTATTCTGACATTTAACTAATTCAAAAGATATTTCAATATTTATCTAAAACAAAAGTTTACTCTAAATTGATGTTGTACAGTAAAAATGTTTTATGTTTTCTCCCTAAAGGTTGTAAATATCTGGTTACAAATGTGAATATCCTGCTGTGTACTGAAATCCCTCTTGTTTTGCATAGAAATATACTGAACAACATACAAAGCATAATATATAAAATAACATTTACCTGAGTTTTTTCTTTGAAAGAAGCCTCTAATGTCCATTCTTATATTTCAGTACATAACTGAAACCGATTTAGTCGGGGAGGGTAAGAACTGAAAATATGAAATAAACACACGTAAGCTAAGACTCTCTAAAAAAATAGCATTTGTTCGGCTTTTCATTTCGCCATTTGTTGATTCACTTGAAGAGCAAGTAACGTAATATTGGTCAAGTGATCAGTTTGATATCAATCTTTCGTGATGCACCGTCATATTTACATTATTTGTACGGTAGGAATGATTTGCTTTGCTACCTGGTCAAACTTAAGCTCTCCTTAGTATGGCTGGCTCCGTTTCTCCAACAGCGCACTCCGAGGCAGCAGCTGCCCCGCCCCCTCGCTCAGTCGCTTAGTGTCTGAGCTCGGATCATACCAATATCAGGGGGGATTCACGCACAGTCGTAAATTCCCACAGTGTGCACTATGTGCTTCGAATATTGTGTGTACTTTTTGTTTTATACAGTTGTCAGTCCAGGCATCTAACTATGAAAAAATTACACTCCAAAAGACCCCGGGCTTCTGACAAAACACCCCGGGCTTAAGCCCAGTAAGCCACCCCCACGCTCCGCCCCTGCCCAGACTCACTTTTAAAACATCATTTAAGTACTGCATTTTATATTTATTTTGGGATTTCACTGCATAACATTAACATTTGCTTGATAATTTCGGCTAAGATGCCCTGATGAATATATATTTGGTGTCCTGACAGCTGCATAGAAAAAAACACTCACGTGACATTTATACTATGGAAAGGACTACTTTCTTTCTCTTAAGAAAAATGATTTTGATTAAAACTGTGGGATAAGTGGGTCAAATATGGTAAACCTGTAAAATTATATTTTGTGCAGGTCCTAGGTGAATTTCATGTATGTTATTTTAATCTACTTATTTGTTTATTTTTTTGTATCTATACAATTGCATATATTGCATATATGTTCATATATTACTTAGTGCCTGAACCTATCTTCACTCATAATCTGTGTAAAGAAATCTTTGAATGCCAGAGGCCAAACATTACTCTAGCTTCATTTAAATTGTCTGAAATTGTGAAAAGAAAATGTGACAAATATGAGCCCCGTACAAAAAACAAAAGAACAAAACAAAACCAAACAATCAAACAAGAAAAACTAAACTAAACAAGAAAAGACAAATGGGGAAGGAGACACACTCGTTTTTTCACGGCACTGTAAACAGTCAACCGATGGACTCGAGGGACCCATTTAACTTACGTACCTCTGACATACGTACAGTATTATGTCACTTCCGTAAATAGGGACTTTTACGAAATCGGAGCGCACTTTGCGGTTTATGAATCTATATGTATCTATATATACAAATAAAATAGTTATGAATCAAATGTTAATCAGGAAACAGATCTATTATTAAAAAAGAAGGGAGCCTTCATTTTCATCAGCGGAACTGAATTTGCATGTGCTGACCTAACGGTGGCCGGGGCTGACGTCTCCTCCTTCAGCCTGACGTCGTCCCCAGTGGTCGTGCGTGCCGTGCCGGGCCTCTCTGCAGATGGAGGTGGCGCGGGGGGGAGGTTGTTTGGGGATGGTTTGCCGGGATATCGCGTCACCTCCTCGGTGTCTTGCTAGCATACTGTCACCTGCTCGCATTCAGCACGAGCTGTTTGCACGGACATGAAAAGTAAGATTTCGGGTCGCGGTAGCCGCTCCTGTTTGTGAGCCCTTTGTAAAGCACGTCGCTGCGGGCCAGGAGATGTTTCGTGAGCTTTGGTGGGTAAACAGAAGGCCTTTACCTTTGCAGGGTTGACAGCTTCTGTTTAGGGGCTTGTTGTCTTCGCGGTAATGACAGACTACAGCTGCTGCTGCATCTGCTTTTGAGCTATCAGCCAGAGACGAGGTGAGTGCGATGTCTGTCTGTGTGTTTGGTGTTGAGGTGATGGAGCTAGCGTTAGCTTACAGCAGCCCCTTTCTGAAGACTTTATTGCTATTAATGGCCTGTCACGTTTGCAGACGTCCACCAGAAGAAGATAGTTGGTAACTATGGCTGAACAAGACGTTTGCCCCCACCTCGATTCAATAGGCGAGGTGACAAAGGAGGACCTTCTGCAGAAGTCTAAGGTGCGCTTTTCATACAGTGAAGCTGCTGTCAGATGTAAAATATACCCTGTTGTGGATGGCGACTGAAATAAGCACTTCAGCTGTGTTGTGCTCATGTAATATCCATGCATATAAACTTCTTCTTCTTTACTATGTTGTGTTAATATTGCCTGTAGGGAACTTGTCAGTCATGTGGAGCTGGTGGTCCAAACCTGTGGGCCTGTCTACAGGTAAGGTTAGGACTTAGATCCTGTTAAATACCTTACGTTGTTATTATCTCAAATAGTTAGCTATAAAGCTAAAAGGTGGCTTAACTTCTAAGCCAACACTGCACTTAGCATATATTATCAGAGACTGGAGGGCCAGGTGAATGCTGAATAATTAATGTTAGCGTGGAGTATAAATGTGCTTAAAAATGCAGTTCCTCTTCAGTTCAGGAAAGCGATAAAGGGTGTTGATTGATTTTTGGATTCTGAACAGAGAAGCAAAAAGGAAGGAGATCCTATCTTACATTGTGTCTGATTTGCAGAACGACTGCCCGTATGTCGGGTGCGGAGAGTCCTACTCTGATCACAGCACCCTGCATGCACAGGTACGGCCCTTTCATACAAAATTTATTTGCAAGCCCCTTTTTTTAAATTAGTAGTCTATAAGCAGATTGTGTGCTTCCTTTTTAGGCTAAGAAGCACAACCTTACCGTGAATCTGACAACGTTCAGGATCTGGTGTTATGTGTGTGAGCGAGAGGTGTTTCTGGAGCACAGGCCGGCCCTGGTGCCCGTAGCTGCTGCAGCACACCTCTGTAAAGCTACAGAGCAGGTATGAGTTCAACCCAGCTCATGTTTTTATGTTAAGTGTCTTACTAGTGGAATTTACATTTTAACATAAGAACAAGAAATACACACGCACACAAACACACACAAGATGCTTATAATATTTGTTTATTCTCTTCCTAGGAAACCTCTCCCCAGACAGTTGGTCACCCACTCAAAGCGGTACCGATTGCTGTGGCCGAAGAAGAAGGCTCAGAGTCAGAAGAGGATGAGCTTAAACCCAGAGGTATATATGCATGCATGCTTGATCAGCTTCAAACATTTCTAGACTGGTGGTCAAAGCTGCCCTGGTTTCTTTTTATTCAGGCCTTGAAGGTTTTTCTTTTCTCTCTGACTTGTACAGCAGTCTTTATGCCTAAGATGTTTAGTTTGAACGCTTTCTGAGAGGATAAAGTGTTTCATGATTGGTGATCTTTTTTTGGATCTTTGTTTGTAGGGTTGACAGGAATGAAAAACATCGGAAATTCCTGCTACATGAACGCAGCTCTTCAAGCCCTGTCCAACTGGTGCGTGCTTTTCCTCCTAAAATGTAGAACAACTTTAATGTTTGTTTTGGTTCTAATCAGGTTAATCATTGGACATATTTCAGTCAAACAATAAAGCTTCTCTTTTGTTTTACATCTACTACTAATGTTAGAGGTGCTTTAACCTCAGCTGTCCCTCTGCCCCCTCATTAGCCCTCCTCTCACTCAGTTTTTTCTGGACTGCGGTGGATTGGTAAGGACTGACAAGAAGCCTGCTTTGTGTAAGAGCTACCAGAAACTCATCTCAGAACTCTGGCATAAAAAACGGTAATTAAAGCATCACAGTGATTGTATGTAAACTGGACAACAAACTAGTGTTTAGTCATTAAAATGAAAACATAATTGCATGTCTCTTATTACTGCTCCCCTCTCAGGCCCAGCTATGTTGTCCCTACCAGCCTGTCCCACGGCATCAAACTGGTGAACCCCATGTTTCGTGGTTACGCTCAGCAGGTAGGGCTGTCCGCCCGGCATGCTTCAACAGCATCTTGACACTGTCCTTTTATTGGATTTTATATCATTAAACCCTTGGATTTGCAAAAAATGCTTTTCACAAGATTACTCGGTTGTGTATTTTAAAGTGCAGTCCATTATTTTTGACTCAGTTTTAAATCTGCAGTTTGTCTCCCCCTTGTGGCAGTTAAAGCAAGTACACAAACATGGTTGATTGGCCTTTGACAAAGAGAAATCCACATTAGTGTTAATTCCTGTTTTCCTTTATCTTTAATCACTTTCATTGTTAGACTACAAGCCTTCCGTCAAATGCCATTTGTCTGGAGGGGGAACTAGACAAAGTAATAGGAAATGGATTTTTTTTCTTTTAACATAAAGACAGGAATTGAATTTCCCTTTCCCTTCTGAGAGGCTGCTTAATCTGAAAGATAACTGCTCCTTGGAATAATCACAGGCTTTACTTCTGTTGTTCTGTATCCTTCATATTTGAATACTGAAAAGACCGAGGGCTTCATTTTTACCCAGTTATGTTTCATGGCACGTCTAAGGATAAACTTCAAGTCAGACTTAGTATTTTAGTTTGTCTGATCCTATTTAAAGAGAAAATGCAGACAGTCACACAGTATGGAGATATCTCCAATCCAGTTTCTTGTTATTTTTTCCATATTTTCTCGGTGGCTTAGTTAATGTTTGATTTGTCTGTTTACGCAGTGGCTGTGATCAGCACATGGTATCTCGCTAATGTGCAAACCGATTTCTTGTTACTCCAATGTTTCTGTCTTTTTGCTTGCAATATTTGTGTTTATCTATTGTCCATTTACAAATGTTCTCTGTGAATGCGGCCCTATCCATGCAGTTAATATAAGGTTTCTGTGTTGTCCAGGACACTCAGGAGTTCTTGCGCTGTCTGATGGACCAGCTACACGAAGAGCTGAAGGAGCCTCTGTCTGAGTGTAACGTGGGCTACGACGGGAGCGACGGGGAGGACAGAAGAGACGGAGACCGCTCCCCCTCTGAGGATGAGTTCCTCTCCTGTGACTCTGGCTCCAGTAGTGACCGAGGGGAGGGAGGAGGGGTGGGTGACAGCGAGCTGCTCATCCAGGATGAGTGTGATGGGATACGGTCACCGGCAGGTGGAATGGGGGACGTCAGTAGTGGTGCAGTGATCTCTGAGAAGGAGAGGCTTAAAGAAAGGAGGTTACCCGGCTCCCCGCTCCGTGGAGGTTCACAAGAGATGGATGAAGATGCTGATGTGGACACAGCAGTTGAGGAAGGGTCTCCAGAAAGGAGGGCGGAGGATGAAGAGGAGCCTGCAGCCCCAAACACAGAGGTCCAAAGTCAGGAAAACCATCAGACGTCTAACACAGGGCAAAGTCAAGTCCCGAGCAACAACAGCTCAGGTACAAGACCAGCAGGAATACAGTGATTTTATATATTTATATATCTATATATTTATATATTGGATTATTCAGTTATGTATTGTAGAATATCATCAGTTATCATTAAGTTTGTGTTTCCACTGTGATGTTTTCTAGAGCCAGACAATGAAGCATCGATGACCCAGCCCCAGTCCACTCCCTGCAGTCCTGTGCGCACCCTTCAAGAGCTGCATCCCAAACTGTCCTCCAGTCCCCCCCGGTCCAGCCCTCTCCGCTCTTCAGGACCTGCATACTCCTTCAAAAAAGGTGAGAAAATTTCTCATAGACTGCTCAAGATGCTTCACAATTTTAACAGAGTCCCCAGGTTGAGAAACATTTGCCTCGGTAAAACACATTTTTACCGCACTACCGTGGTAGTCGCATGTACAGAACTGTAAGTATACAACATAGGATGCTTCTTGATGTTTCACATATGAAGCAGGCGAGTCTTTGCCTGTAGAATCACACTGTCCAAAGTGGAGTTCTTGAGTCTTTCTAAGTTTTTTATTTTTGGAGATGTTGGCTGCTTTTACACTCATTTTCACTCCAAGGTTTAGGTCAGGTGACTGTGGAGGCTCACGTGACTCGTGTATCATTCAAACCATCAGTCGGTTGGAAAAAACACATAATTTATTCCCATTTCTTTGGCTGAATTTAAAATGTCAATGATAACACAGTTTGATAGGCATAAAGTAGTACTTTGACACATATTAGCTGAAAACTTGGGATGTCTCATCATGGTGTGCAGTGAAGGATGAATGAATTAGTGGCAGGCATTAAAAGGTATGTGTAGCTGATGAATAGCATCTGAAAGTCATTTTCAGTTTGAGTATACACAGTTACAAAGATGTTAGTTAAGGTGGCACTCTTTGAGATGCTCTCTGCCTTTGTCTTCTGAAGCCAGCCCTCCCTCCCATCATGTGTCTTCCAGCTCAGCTGCTGCTCAGTGCCAGGAAGAAAAAGCAGTCTCACTATCGCAGTGTGATCTCGGACATCTTTGATGGTTCGATCCTCAGTCTAGTCCAGTGTTTGACCTGTGACAGGGTAAGATGCACTTCACATATTTGAACACAAGGGGGAGGTAGAGTATACGCTTGATAAAATATGTTTATTTGTTAAATTATATTACATTTCTTATCAAAGCAGGTTTAAATGAAATGAAGTGACTTGTGCAATTATTTCATTTCAGTATTATACAGACTTTTTTTGTGTAATTAGAGTGATTAAAACACATTCATAATTGCTCTTTTACTGCTAGAGGTATGCTGTTTAAACTGGTTCTCTGAATTTGGTACAGGTCTCAACTACAGTGGAAACCTTCCAGGACTTATCCCTCCCTATTCCTGGTAAAGAAGACCTAGCAAAGCTCCATTCATCCATCCATCAGAACCTGCCGGTGAAGACTGGTGTGTGCCCTGACACTTACGGCTCGCAGGGGTGGATCTCCTACATCATGGACTCCATACGGCGGTCAGTGAATGAAATATAATTGAAAAAGGCTGAGACGACGTTTGCATGTTTGAACCTTAGTTGTGCATAATTTTGACTGCTGATGTTACCGATATACTTTTAATCTGGTATGTTTCTGACTTCAGTTTCCTGTAACTTCAGATGTAGTTAGATAAGCTTTCTACATGCCTGCAAGGTAACATTTTTACAGAATTAACAGCGAGTAGAAACTTGCTTGGCCTGTCGTTTTTTTTCAAAGTTTTTGTGTATTTCCTGAAAACGAATCATAAAACTACAAAAGCTTCTTATTTAGCTAGTCTTTTCAGTAGGTGCTGCAACACGTGTCTGTGTGTTCGATGATGAAGATGAACGCATGTGCTATGCCAGATCTATAAACTAAATAGATCTAAAAAATGAATAGTTTATTTCCTCTAACTAGCAATCACTTTGCTAGTTAGAGGAAGTGTATTGCAGGTGATGCCTCATAGATAACTTCCTTCAATGATTTATCACATTTTTTTCTGAAAATGTGCTGATAAACAGATAAAGTTTGTGTGTAGGACATGTAGAGAGGCCATCTAGAGTCACTCAGTTACTCATTGGTTGGACAGATTTGGTAAACTTAAGGTGGCTCTGAAATGCACTACACTTACACTTTTCAGCAAAAATACTCTGGATAGTGACGTCACACGGTTGCACCGCATCGAGTTAACAGTTAGCAGTGCCCTGGAAATGGGTTCTGTTCAACCTTTCCAGTTTGAACCAGAGCAATCTGAGAGAGGATGAAAATAGTCAACCAGTACTTAGTTTAGATGAAGATGAAAACAATCCGTCACACGAGGATGTGAAAGTCAGGGAAAACTACTGGTGTCTATGCAGCTACTGCTTGCCAATGGCAATGGTGTCGTGCCAAATTATGCATCCCTGACAGGGACCCAGAGTGCACCGAGAAGTAAATAACAATGGCGGCCTACTGGTAAATCGGTTTTGTATAAAATGTGCCTAAAAGGAAAACATTTGGCGTATTTTAATACCACATATATGTTATTGGAAGCACAGTGCATATTTTGGCGCAAACATGTGTTAATAGCCGGGGTTCCCTTTAAAAGCTACTCCTTTGATTTCATAATAACACTCAAGCAATGGTGGAAGAGGGCTTTTATTGTTTAACCCAGATTTATTCTCTTTTTAAAAAATTCTGCTGACTTAGAGCATCTTTGAACTCATTACTGTTTTTGTTTTTTGGCTTAAAACATTACTGTATTTCCCGGACTACAAAGCGCACCTGAATATCAGAATCAGAATCAGAATACTTTATTGATCCCTGGGGGAAATTATTTTTTGTTACAGTGCTCCGTTATAAACCAACATTAAGACAAGACAGACAATACACTAACTAAGAATAGTACAATATATACATATATATACATACATACATACATAAGTCACTCATAAATAAATAGCTGAAAAAGAAACATGTGTAGTTATAGCAGCAAACAGTGTGTTAAGTATTAGCCGCACAAGCTAAAATCAGGGGAAAATCCTGTTTTGTACATACATTAGCCGCACCTGACCAAAAGCCGCAGGTGTTTCAATGTTGACTTATCATATGTAAGGGAATATGCACAAAGGGAATTGTCAGGAAAGAGACGGTTGTTTGGAGACACACCCCTTTTATTAATACTTTGAAAAACAAGTTAAGGGTACATATTTGCATAACTTTTTAGGTATATGTACAAGTAGCGGTAATTACAAGTACAAAACATGTACTGTGCTTCATAAACGAGTAACAAATGTAGTACATAACAATAACCTGCAGCACACCAGAAAAATAGATTCGGACTACCTTTTAGGCTCAGGTGCAGTGACACAAGAAGAAAAGTCAGTCATTCACCATCTTTCTCTTCTTCCTGCGCACTAAAACCACCAAAGTCCTCTTCTCCAGTGTCGGATACGAACAGGCTCAGGATGGCTTCGTCATCCACTCTCCGCTTCTCTCCTTTGTTGTCACTTTCAAAACCAAAGAAATCCTCGTTGTCAGTGTCGGAGTCAAACACCCTCTGAAGGGCCGTGGCGGTGTCCTCCTCTCCATCATGCAGCAGTCCAGCCCTTCGAAATCCGTTGGTGATCGTGGATGTTTTCACACTTTTCTACGCTGTCAGAATCCACCGGTGGAGTTGAGCATAACTTGCTTTTCGCAAGTTTATCGCCGCTCATCATCCACGCCTCCCACTGAACGCGTAACGCTACTTTGAATTTTGTTTTTCGCGCTACTTCGTACGGCACTACGTTGCCTGGCGGACGGCCATGTGACCAACATACCACTCTTGAACCCCGATACTGTGTGTCTGATCACATGCCCTTCCGCCAGGCAACGTAGTGCCGTACAACAGCGGAACAAACAAAAAAATCGTCTTATGATATCACAAAAATCATGGAGAATCCATAGAAAAGCCGCACCTGACTAAAAGCGGCAGGGTTCAAAGCTTGTGCAAAAAGTAGCGGCTTATAGCCCGACAATTACGGTACTCTTTTGGTTCGGTCTCATTGGTAAGTGTATTTTTCCAAAAATCACCATCAAACTACCTGTGCACGTATGTTGGCACTATACAGGCAGAGCATCCGGAGACTAAAGAGCCAGATATCTCCCTCAGGAAGGAGTGCAGATAAGATCTGACCTATAAGGTCATACTCCTACGCTTTGTTTGCGTCATCATAGCTCAAAAATTCATGTTCACATTACTACTCTGCTGTGATGGCACAGACTAGTTTATGAAGTCTTGTTTCAAAGCTTTGACTTTTACCTTCACGGCTGTTGCAATCTTGATATTATGGAAACAGAAGTGGCCGTGTTTTGACAATGCTGTTATCAGCTAACACAGGGGTCAGCTTTTTCCCCATGAGAAACCGGGACTGTTGTGGAGCGCTGCAGGTAGAAATATGAAGGACAGCAGACAGGTGATCATCACTGAGAAGGGATTTGTTAAACTTAGTCACTAAGCATATTTATTGACATATGAAGGTAAAGCCAAAGAGCGTCTTCTGATACACGGAAATCTCTCCTCTATGACAGAGCGATAAAGATCCAGCAGTGATGATGATGTGAAATACTAATGATTCGGTGCTTTTGCTCTTGCAACATGGTTCATTTTTAGCAATGACTTACACAACACTTCCTGGTGTATAATTCAGTGCAAAAACATCAATTTCAGTTCTGTGTTCATTTCAGTCACTTTATCTTTCTTCAGATTTAGACAGCCATTCGTTGTAACACCTGCCAGTTTGTCCCATTTCATCTCCAGCCTATCCAAGCATGCAGTTACCGTCATGGACGAATCACTCCAGCTCCTCCATGATGTCAAACTCTCTTGTTTCACGTGTACATAGACTTATATTGGGCTGTGTTGCAGATATCACATTTCTCATCCGGTGGCAAGGAGAAAAAGTCAAAATTGTCTGCTTTGTTTTCAGCCGAAGCTTTAGACTTCCCCGAAATGTCCTCGTTCCTTCCTGTTAACAGTATCAAGGTGTGTTAGTCCGGCCCAAAATAAAAATATTCTTACTGAGAATATTTTTACTGTTTTTCAGTTGTTTTTGTGGGAACTCACAAAGCTGGTCTTGACCACCCCATACGTGGATGTTTAAAACTTTCACTCTCTAAAACAGTCAAGTTCTTCAAGTCTACGTGTTTCATCTTGTATTCATCTTTTCATTGTGGTGATTCAGTGGTGAATCACACTAATCTGCTCTACACAAACTAAGCATACAACTTTACCTCCAACTTCAGTAAATAAATTCTTAGAAGTCAAAGTCATTTTTAAAAACTACTTGAAAAACAAACATCCGCCTTCAAAATAAAAGCAACAAAATTACATTATGATTTGAAGCTATTCTCCAATGGAAATTTGGTGGTTACAATGGTAATCACTTGAATGATTTATAATTATTTATATGAGTGCTTTTGGATGAATTGTTACTCCATTTTTTAGTTATTGGCAGGTAATTCTTATCAAATTAACCCAAAGTCGCCTCAGAAAGGGCGAGTGACTTCAGTTAGCTTTAATTAGCTCTGGTGGAGTCTTTGCAAAGACTCTAGTGATTATAGCAGACATCTGTAACCTTAAGATTTCCAGTTATTAAGTCACGCCCCCAATAACCTTAATTCTTAATACAATAAATATAATTTTGACTCGCTTTTGGAGCCAGCCCCAAACGACCATTTCAAGGAATTGCAGTTTTCCAGATGTTCTAACTTTCACATCAGTCCATCCTCTAACTCACTTTGTTTTGTCTGAGAATCAAGCTTAAAGAATATTCAGGCTTATTAGTAAGAATGATTAAAAATGACTAATTGAAAAAGGCCGTGTGAGGAGGAAACATTTTCACTATGTGATCAACTGCGCTGAAGTTCAGAGTTGCCTTTTCAAGCTAATATTTCTCCAGCTTGCTTTGGTTTTTTTTGTTATGAGTATTTGTGTTTGTGTTGTGCAGGTTTGTAGTCTCATGTATCCCCAGTTGGTTTTGGGGGCCCATGGTAACACTAGAGGACTGCCTTGCTGCTTTTTTTGCTGCAGATGAACTCAAAGGTAATTGGTGCTCTAATAATGCTCCAATACTAGCATAGTTTATATGTCAGAATTTCAATTTCCATTCATTTTCTTTGTTTTTTCCCAGGGGATAACATGTACAGCTGTGAGAGATGTAAAAAGTGCGTCAAATTAAATGCTTGAAATATATATCCTTGATTTAAAAGGAGAGTACTTGTATGCATTTATTCACACAGTGTTTTCTTTTCTACAGGTTGAGAAATGGTGTCAAATACTGCAAAGTGCTTAGACTTCCAGAGGTGCGGTTTTCTTTTCTTTTTTCTTTTTACATTTTTTTTTTTTTAGCTCAGCACTTTCTTTCAGTAGATAACACATCGGTTTCATTTGCAATCTGCTGCATAATGCCATCTTTAATTTCCTTGTTTTGTCCTGTATTTGCTGCATAGATTCTGTGCATTCACCTGAAACGTTTTCGGCACGAGGTCATGTATTCGTTCAAGATAAGCAGCCACGTGTCCTTCCCGCTCGAGGGCCTCGACATGCGACCTTTCCTGGCTAAAGACAGTCCATCGCAAGTTACCACTTACGACTTGCTGTCAGTCATTTGCCACCATGGCACTGCAGGAAGTATGAGACCACAAAGTTTCCTGTTGATATATTATTTCCCTCGTGGGCAATATTTCTCACAGAGCGAGCAAAACACATATCTGATTAGCATCTGTCTCTAATATGTTTTGTCATGCTGCTTATGGGTGCAGGTGGGCACTACATAGCTTACTGTCAGAATGTAATCAACGGCCAGTGGTATGAGTTTGATGACCAGTATGTTACCGAAGTCCATGAGACGGTGGTGCAGAACGCAGAGGCTTATGTGTTGTTCTATAGGTGAGCAAAGGCGTCATTTACATAGACTCTACGCTAATTTGTCCAAGATGTGTTAAGTGATTTATTTCTATTGTACTTTTTGCAGGAAAAGTAGCGAGGAGGCTGTGAGAGAGAGGCAGAAGGTGGTGGCTCTGGCCAATATGAAGGAGCCCAGCCTGCTGCAGTTTTACATCTCCAGAGAATGGCTCAACAAGTTCAACACCTTCGCTGAGCCAGGCCCCATCAGCAACCACACGTTTCTTTGTCAACATGGCGGTATGTGTGGTTAATAAGTCTCTTCTTTACAATCAGAATTGCTCGCTTTACTTTCATGGCTCAGCCTGCAGCTTGGTATAAATATTTTTAGTAAGTCGTCCACTGACTTGTCTTGATTAGAAAAACATGCCTGCACTGTCTTTATTAACGTGTTTCATCTCTGTGCAGGGATCCCTCCTAATAAATACCACTACATAGATGATCTGGTTGTGATTGTTCCCCAGAACGTGTGGGAATACCTTTACAACAGGTAAACGTGCTCCATGCTGCCAAACAAACCTCAGTATGACTATTTTACGACCTTGGCCTGGGGTAACCTGGGCGTAACAAGAAATGTGATTTCCCCACTCCAACTCCACCCAAGAAAGAGCCAAAACACAGAGCAATTGCAAATGCTATGCAGCTATTTATTGACTTCAGCAGTGAGCTATGGCAATGAAACAAACAAAAGATCTCCAAAGGTCCCTAATCTTCCCTGACCAAATTAAGAGTCAAACAAAAGACAATTTGCTCACCTAAACCCCTATCCGGTAAACAAGAGAAAAGAGGTTTTAATGATTAAAGGCTTCTCACTCCTGTAGTGTTCAGTATATACAGTGAAACAGAACAAGTTGTCTGATTTACAAAACTATTTACACAGATCTCGACTAGCACTCTTGAAATCAGACACACAAAAGTGACAGTCACTTTGTGGCTGAGTTGCTTTGGTGCCAAGCACTTCTGCTTTGCAGTAATAGCACTTAGAACAAGGAGGTTGAGCTAGGAGGAAGGAAATGTCGCAAACTGACTTGTTCCAACGGTGGCATTGTATTACAGCACCACACTTGAATCCACTGAGCGCTTTAGAATGACCCACTCTTTCACCAACGTGTGTAAAGTCGAGCTGCGTGGTTAGGTGCTTGATTTTTATACCTGAAAAAGGTTGAAGAGGTGTCACTCAGTACTTCTGTCTGTATTAAAAAAGAAACCAGACGCCGCTGCTGTTTAGAATCAAAATGACCAAAACTGTCACTCGGCATAAGAGCTGAATGGTTATGTCATGTAGCAACATTGTTGACCACTTTGATTATATTAGGCAGCAGCACCCATTTAAAGATGACATGCATCTCAGCATTGATGTAAAGACCAACAAAAAGGCCTTATACTTGCTTATCAAATCATGTGTTAATCTCTCTGTTACGGTTTTTTTCTGCTTTCAGCTTCGGAGGTGGCCCAGCAGTCAACCACCTCTACATGTGTGCAATCTGTCAGGTGGAGATTGAAGCTCTAGCTAAACGCAGAAAAACAGAAATTGACACCTTCATCAAGGTAAACGTGTGTGTTATGCAAAAGTTTACCTTTGTGCTAAAGTGTCTTTGTGTTGAATGAACTTTTTTTTTTCTCTTGTGTGTAGCTGAACAAAGAGTTTCAAGCTGAGGAGGCTCCAACAGTGATCCTGTGTATCAGCATGCAGTGGTTCAGAGAGTGGGAGAGCTTTGTGAAGGGCAAAGACAATGGTACGATGAGTAGCAGCGCATTCGAGTTCCCATCTTTCTCTCTTTACCAAATACTTTTATACTTTCCTTTTCCCAGAGCCACCCGGTCCCATCGACAACAGTAAAATCGGTGTTATGAAAGGAGGACATATACAGCTAAAGCAAGGTAAGTCTGAGGAGGTTGAAAAGGACATAAAGGTAGAAAATCAATGTACTGTTTTTAGACATTGCGTGTTTTTTCACCACAGGTGCAGACTATGGTCAGATCTCAGAGGAGACTTGGCAGTACTTGTTGGGAATTTATGGCGGAGGCCCTGAGATTGCAGTGAGACAGACGGTGGCCCCGGCTGACCCCGACACCCTTCACGGAGAGAGGAAGATTGAGGCAGAGACGAGAGCACTTTGAGATAAAGAGAGGTTGGAATCTTTATACTTTGCTTCATTACTGTGCAAAACTTTTGAGACTGATGTTTTTGAATTTTTAAAAAGTGATCTTTAGCAATAGTTCTCTGGCCTCATTTTGAGTCCAGTCCTCGTACCTGACCATTTTCAGAGGAAATTTGTTGTTTATTTTTAAGAACCAATTTTAAATTGTATCTTTAGGCACTTTGTTATTAGGAGCCTGTCACGAAGATTATTTGTTCCCATTTCCTTGAGTTGAATCTATAAAAAAACACCCCAAATCCAAACATAAGACAGTTACACAACACAGAGCTATTAGCTTTAAATTTGGCACATCTCCACATGGTGTGCAGTGTGTCCTAAAAAAAAATTAAGGAACCTGGATAAAGACGACCTGGCAGGCCTCAAAAACGTGAAAAAATGGACCTAAAAGTTGCATCTGGACTTCATCTCCTGTTATCTGAAGTGGCTGAGGTGTGTGTAATTACACAGGAGCTGGAGTGAAAATCAGTGGCAACAGGTCTTATAAACAAAGGAATTCAGATTCTGTATTTTTGGTGTAAATTCTGATCACAGAGCAGGGGATCCACATTTAAAACTTATTATCAACATGTATGGTGGCGGTCAGAAGAGGTCCAACAGTGAGTGTCTACAGCCATCTGTAAAACACGGGGGAGTTGCTGCCTTTGTTTGTGGGATTTGTGATGGAACAAATATAATAGGTATTGTCAGATATTGATTCACCATGATATACCATCTAGTAAAAAGTGTCTGATTGGTAACAGCTTCATTTTTTTTAGCAATAAGTGATTCAAAAATCGCAATAAAATGCCTCCTCAGAGCCCAGACCTCAACATTATTGAAGCAGTGTGGGATCATCTTGACAGAGAAGAGAACAAAAGGCCTGAAGCTCTGTTGCTGAACTTGTCAGAACTGTACAAACTCTGTATTTCCGTGTATGTTTGCAGGATTCAATAAATGTCTGGAATTTTTTTTTGGAAAACATATAGCAGTGAGAGGTGGCTCAAGACGTTTGCACAACACTGTACTTATAAACATACATATCCCTATATATGCTGTATATACACAGAGTGGATTCAGGTATGCCTTTTAGTGTATTTGGGTAAATCAGCAGAAAGAAGGATATCTGGTCTCTTAACTGCTATAAATCCAAAATATAGAGTTGGAGATGATGCCTCACTAAGGGTCTGCTCATTCTCAAACTGTTTCTCAACTTTTATCATCCCCAGGTCTTCTGAGCCCTTTTTCCACTCTTGTCCTCACAGGAAGCTGAGGAATTTGCACCATGGTGAAGAAGCCCCATCTTGAGCACTTTGTAAATGTAGCAGCATGTTATTCTGAAGCCATGTTGCAGCAAGAGAAAATGCTACCTAAAAACAACACGGTTTATTTGTTGGATAACTTTGATCCTTAATGTTGAGGTGTACAAATAAGATGTTGTCACATCCCTGGAGCTGTTTTTGGTAGCTGTGGTGTCTCAGTGGCCGCTGTAGTGACACGGTGTTGTATAATGCTAAACGGGCAGATGGCTGCAAGTATTACAAGACAAAATGCTGCGGAGAATAGAATTACAGTGTGTTGCTTTTGAGGACTTCTCTTCTTCCCTGGAAGCAAACCCAGAGACATTAACAGTGCTTTTTGTTATTTAGTTACATATCAGCAGGTACGGCCATGACGAGATGTCAGATAAATCACAGTCGGACCCTTTGATCTTTAAAGGGGACATATTATGCATATCTACTTTGTTTTTCCACAAAAGATGGCAAAAGAGCATCCCTAGAGATATTGCATGTAGTTACATACAGGCCCCACTGGTGAATAGATGCACCTGAATACAACAGACCTGCCCTGGTGTACATTTCTGTGTTTTCATGTCACCTTTACTGCTTTAGTCCAAGCTCAGCTCGGTCCTTTACGTCTCTTTGCATCTCTCCTCATCGCACCCTGTACTGCATTTCAGCACGTTTAAAATCCCACTACAGCTGACCTCATTTACATAATCTTCAGTTTTTGTTTACAGACAATGAAATGAGTGTGAAATAGGAAGACACAAACTACAACCTGGCTTGTAACCTGTCGCCAGTTATGAGCCAGTTTTTAAAGCTGCATTGCTAAAGTTTCAGTTTTTGAATTGATCCATGGTTCATAATCATGAGCTCAAATCAGTGGTTGTTTGTGATTGCTTTGTGTTGCATGTAAAATGATCACACTGAGAATGATAGAAACATCAGAGTCTCTCATTCACGTCTATGTGGCACACTGTGCTGTACTGCTCTCACTGGGTGGTGCTTTCGGCTGCTCCCGTGTGTGTCTTACAGACCACTTCCTGAAAAGGAGATTGGGCACCAGCAGCACTTTTAATTTAAAGCTACAGGCACTGAAAGCGTCTGTTGAAAACTGGGGGTATAAGCTGAACCTTAAACATTTCGGGGACATGTAAAGCCTGCATCAACATGTTAAAGTGGTATATAATATGTCCTCTTTAAAAGCACTCAGGACTGTGGGTCTTTTCAGGTTTGAATTTGTTTAAAAGGGTTTACAGACTACAAAAATGCATGTTCCAAAAGACTTTGGGTATAAATGCATGAAAAAAAGTTGTTTTTTTTGTTCTTCTTTGCTCAAGTGAGGACATTTCACTGACAGGTTGAGTTTTTTTATTTTATTTTTATTTTTTTTATACCCCAAACAGACAACCCGTTATCTTTTTGTGTGCTCGCAAAAGTGTTGACTCGCTTCTGTTTAGTTTACGCAAGCAGCGATCAATACTTAGGAGTTTATGAATATTAACAGATGGAAATTTGGAAATGGGAATTTTGATGGGGCATAGACAGAAAGTTGAGCGTGAGAGAGGATTAATGAAGAGAATCTTGTGCAACAAAACATCAGAGCTGGTTTTTATGAAGAGAAGAGACAGAAGCTTTTGATTTCTAAGTGTAAATTAACTTTGAGATGCCTGTTATTACAATAGACCATTATGCAGTATTTGTTTAAAGGGCAGTATTAAGTACAAAGTGCTTTTTCCCACCATCTTCTAAAAATTTAGCAGAAATAACACAACAGCTTCACAAACAGATATCACATATGCAAAAAAAAAAAAGAAGAAAAGAAACATGTCGCACCAATAAGGTTACTCCTTATACTGATTCGGTGTATGTATACTTTTTTTATTATTATTATTTTGTTTTATACTACTGTGCAATGTTTGGACTCCAATCTGAAGGTGGTAAATAAAAAAAATTAAAAAAAACCTTGTAAAAATTTAGCATAAGTATAAAATGTTAGATATTTTCCTGAAGTGTGCAATTCATGTTGCAGAAATGCAAGAGAGATAATTCGATAATAAATCTGTAAGAAGCTTAGCTAAGTAAACTTAGTCATCCTCTTTCTCATTTCAGATAAACCACACGCTTGCCTTTTTTGTTCTTTTTAAAAAATAAATAAATAATGGAACCCTAACCCTTGCCAAACGTTGCCCCCACATTTTAAGTAGTTAATGCTTGGCATTAACTAATAAGCTAATTCTTTCCCTTTAATATATTAGACTACATTACATTATATTAGTCTAGTCTACTGTCAGTTAATAATAATCAGGTTTAGAAATGGTGTTAATGAGCTATTACATGCTTCTTCTTTTTTTTGTCAATTTACATGACATGGAGTCTCCATAGGTGTTTTTCATAAAGTGTCAGTGCATATACATTGCTTTTAAATCTCTATTTTATCAGTAATCATTAAGGGAGAAATTATATGTATTAGACTGGCAGTGAAAAACTTCCAGAAGTAGACTGTGGGTAAATGTTGCAACTCAGCTGATGCCGGTTTAAAAGTAGCTAGAAGTACTTTGATAACGAAATTTTCAGGGCCAAATGACTGAAAATAATAGTGAGGGCTTATTTAATCTTTTATGTAAGATGAAGGTGCAAAGTGGTGTTTGTTCCAGAGTGTTCCCCGTTCTGTGATGTTTGCTTTTTTTAAAAAAATAAAAAATTCCTCTAAGTGAAATTACTATTTTTCCCTGATGACGAGTTCACCCACACATATTTGGGAGTAATCGTCTGAATTTCTTCACATTTGTATCAAGGAATCATTTTTGGCTATAATTTGAGGCATAACAGATGGGTCTCAATAATAGAGTATGATCATTCACCCCGGTTGCGTTTGCCAAATAGAAGAGCCAAAATAGAGGCACAGAACAAATTGACAGTGAATTCAACCATAAAGCCAAAACTGGCTCACCTCTGTACATGTAGTTATATATCTAGGTTTCCAATAAAATCAAAGTTAATGTTTGTTTGTTTTTTTGGGAGGTGGAGAATTAATGGTCAACCAGGGCTCCACCAGAGTTCAGGTACAGAAGTGGTAGATTGTTTCTGGCTGGGTGGGCCCAGATCACTTCTATCGCTTGGTAGATCATATGGTCCTTCTGACTTCATTAGGTGGTGACCTTCTGCTAGGATGGTTCTCAGTTCATCCAAATTATTGTAGTTAAAGGAGCTTGGAAAGAAAACCGTCTGGACTTCTTTAAGTTTCCTTAAAAACATCTCACCTCTTATCCGAGAAGCTTCTCTAGTTCTAAGAGCAATTGGTGAAGAGTGAAGAGTAGAAGAGCCACCTCGACAAGACAAGACTCAGCTATTCATCTGCATTTAAAGGACACAGGTCTCTCTTTCGAAGATGCCAATGTTCACATTTCGGACAGAGAAGACAGATGGTTTGAAAAAAGAGCGAAGGAAGCATCTATGTCTACTGTGAACGACCATCTTTGAACAGAGGCGGTGGTTTAAGACACCAACTGTCTGCCATCTATAATCCAGTTTTGAGAACCCTTCCCAGACGCCTTAACGACCACTCACATCCTGAGCCATTTGACCTCAGTAAATCACCTGATAGGGTGGGGCTTATTCTCACAGTGGGTTCACCTGAAACATTGACTGATTGTGCCTCACACCCGCTTTCAAAGGTGTGGGGCAGAGGATCAACAGGGGGTCCACGACCCTCTTGGGGACACTCCCAATAGGGCTTAAAATCTGGAACTCTCCACCATTTGCTCTTAGAACTGAAGAAGCTTCTTGGATGAGAGGTGAAAAGTCTTCAAGGAAACTTAAAGAAGTCCAGACACTTTGTTTTCAAGCGCCATACATTGCGCTAGGACGATTTGGAGCTGGGATGACATTTGGCACTTCCAAGTTTGAGGCCACAGTTCCCAACCGAAAAAGGGTGCAGGTCTCTTTCCACTTTGGAAAGTAGTTTCTCCCCTAAGTAGGGGAGTTCAAGTATCTTTAGATCTAGAGAATGGGACTAGCATATTGTCTGAAGAGATGCAGGTGCTGTACCGGTCTGTTGTGGTGAAGAAAGAAATGAGTGTAAAGGTGAAGCTGTAGATTTACTAGTCATGCTACATTTCTGTTCTCACCTATGGTTAGAGCTGGGCGTGAAGACCGAAAGAACGAGATTGTGGATACAAGCAGTGGAAATGAGCTTCCTCTGAAAGGTGTCTTGGCTTGCCATGGCTATTGAGTGGACTCACTACTGTGCATGCTCAGCTCTAAATTTTCCAGATTTCTAATATCTCATTCTGTGACATATCTACTTTAACCTTTTGGTTCCCGTGGCATTCTTGCCTTCCAGCTAAGTGAGGCGCCCCTTATCCAAAACAACTTCACATTTGGCACTGTGCTTGTATAGTCAGCAATACACCCATCCAATGTGAAACTTGATTGCGGAAATAGGCGACAGTAGTTCAGATAGACACAGATTCATCAATTATTTAAAATTTTTTATATTTAAAAAGTCCTTGGACATTTTTACTCTCTAACAAGAAAGTAGAAATAGGGTTTCCCTTTAATGTGTTCGAGTCATCTTAGCAGAATAAAACAAAACTTTGACAAATACCGATCAAAAATTAAGTGTTGATGTGTGCTTTTTCCCTTAATAATAGCTGGGGTAACTATCTGCACTATAGTCATCCTACTTTTGAATACAGTGCCTTCAATCCCCTACACACTGTTTGTTAAGGTGGGAAATTTCCCAACATTCATCCACCTTTACATTAGTCATGTATGTCTAGCAGTGTACTATTAACTCTAACAGCTTTATTTGTTTGGAAGCTCAATCGAGAAAGCTCTCATTCATGCAGAGATATTAAGGAAAGCGATGAGAACTCAGGAGGTAATCATTCCTTTGTTCTCCAGCTTTATATGAAAAACAACAGGAACCTTTGAACGGCGCGTCCTAACACATGATAGGCAGAATTACTTTTTTCCATTGTTTTGTTTACACCACTGATTTGTTCATTGTTTTCTAATGTGTTTTCTTTTAGCACATTTCCATGTTGTATCCACGAGAGGTGTTATTGGCGATCTGTGTATTATGTTTAGATACATTTTTTTGGGGGGGGGAAGTGCAATGAAATAAAAGACAAATCTTAGTGCAATCTCAGCTCTATCATCAAAGATGTGCTTGACATGCTGACAGTCTGAACCGCTGACCTGAAGACTGGAGCGGTTTTTTTGTTTGTTTTATTTTTGTTCAAACTTTCTTTGCAGTGTAGAGAAATCGTGAATGGTGATTACTTAATTATCCTCATCTGTGAGTTTGTTTGTTTGTGTTACAGTGCGTAGCTACACGTGCAGAGTTTTCACTTCACTCAAAAATGTGGACAGTTAATCGGAAATGTTAAAACACACAACGGGATCTCATTGACTTTTGTTTTCTCTGTATCCTCTAATGTGTGGCTCGTGTGGTCATGCCAGTAGTGTTGCTTTGATAACGTGGGACCTAAGTGGTTGGCCTAAATTCAATGAGATGTCTTAATATCTGTATAACTGATGTAATAACTTATGACTAGTTTGATGATTAAAATTCCCTCGTATTACATTTGAAAATGCCAATTTTCTTTGGTGTGTGTGTGATGCAAGAAGGTACTGACGGTTGCTTTCAGCTGCTTTTTGGTAAATATTTGAAACCTCACTGACAATTGTTCAAGAGGAACACCAGTGGCCTGATACCAGGACATTGGGTGTTCCTATCAGCCTCAAAAAACTGATGCAGCATTTTTACAGAGCTGTGTAAAAGTCCCCTCATTTCTTTATATTTCGCTAACAAGGAGCCAGACTGTCATGTAATTTTTTCAAGTGGTCTTGAGCAATAGTTCTCCAGATTTTTTTTTTTCTATTTCACTATGTTCATGTGGTGTAGATAGGTTTTAGGCCTGCCACTTTTGTCGTCCACTTGTCCAGTTAAGAACACACCCTGCTTAGATACCATGCCAAGGTTTTGTCTAATGGCTCTTTAATATTGACTTTGTTGGTTCTTTGGAAATGGTCTGTCACATGTACACAGTGCTGGTTTGTTAGGTGCCTTTTTATGCTTGAAGAATTCATAGGCTAGTGTTATATGGCTTAATAAAGAAACAAAAGAAAAAAAACTCTAAATCTGTAAAAATGGTCACACACAAGGATTGGAGTGAAAATGAGTGAAGAAGCAGCCAGTGCCCCCCCCCCCACGTCTGGCTCCTTGAGGCAAAATATAAAGAAATGAGGGTGGTTCAAGACTTTTGCATTACTGTGAAGCAGGCTACACCGATAAGGCATAACATTATGACCAATGACAGGTGAAGTGAATAACACTCATTATCTCTTCATCATGGCACCTTTTAGTAGGGTCAAGGACCAACAAGGACCAACCCCCTCACCAACTTATAAGACTGTTGCTAACATCTTGGTGCCAGATATCACAGCACACCTTCAGGGGTCTAGTGGAGTCCAAACCTCAAAGGTTTGGGGCAGAAGAGGGGCTAACACAAGATTAGGCAGGTGATCATAATGTTATGCCTGATAGGTGTGTCTCGTGTTGCTCAGACTGCGATTTACAAGATCTTAGACAATGACTACAGTGATTCGATCAGGGTTGTTTTGGCTTAAAGAGGCCTCTTTATAACAGAAAAAATACATTATAAAAATTTTGAAGCTGCACTTAAGGTCAAATGAGGAGGCCGGTTCTGCTCTAATTTTCATCTTCCTTATTCAGAAGGACAGTCGAATGAGGAAGTCGTTTTCATGGTTCTGTTAAAGGTACATCACATGTTAAATGTTTGGATGTGCTTGCATGAGTGCGTTCCCTCCCTACCAGCACATACCCTCTAATAATCACATTATCTACATTTTAAATTTGTACAAAAATGGACATTAAAACCTAATTTGCTCATTGACAAAGCACGGCTCTTTCTGCTGCTTTAAGTATTAATGCTAAGCTAACCTAAACAGATCAAGCTTGGAGTGGCATCAACCTTCTTATCGTCCATCCATCCATCCTAGCTGTCAGACCTTCTTACTATAAGGAAGCGAATTTTCCAAATCTTTTGCTTTGTAAAGATTTATGTTTGCTAAACAGAGGTTTATGCAAAAAATGCATTGAATGATGAGCAGTGAAGTTTCCATGCTTTTTAAGGGATGAACCAGTGATGGATTTCAAATGTAGCCACTTGGGATTGTGCCAAAATAATTACTTAAATGTGTCATTATTAGATTAAAATATCAAAACATTAAATTATTTAATGGTTTCTGTGTTGTAGTGCATCATAAATCTATTTAATCTAATCTAAACCTCACCCTTCAAAGTCAGGGGGCGGGGCTAACTCCAGGGTGGTCCAAGCCATTGCATTTTCTTTTTTCATTTTTTTTAATACACATTTTCCCCAGTGTTTCTAGTTGTTTCTCAGTTCCAAGTACACAGAGTTTGTATTTGTGTACAAATACTTCCTGCCTGGCAAGTTGAAGACTCCAGACTTGCCCACACGTTGATAGCAGCATATTTGATAACATCAGCTTGGCTTCACTGTGCACTTCACTACCTTTTCATGCTTATTATTAATAGCTCTAATAGAAATAACACATAATTGACTGTATTACTTGTGTTCTCTTAAAATGTATGTGCAATTTTAAAGGCAAGAACTCAGCTATAGAAGGCACATGAATGTAAAATTATTTTGAGAGCCCAAAAATGCTAGACTGATTGGGAAGAAGGTGGTAAAGAACTGTACACCAGGATATTAAATTTGATGAAGACTGTTCACACAGATCAGATTAAAAAAAAATAAAAAATTCTAGTAAACTTTTAACAAACAGCTGCCATCTAGAAGACAGATAATTTGATAATTTCTGGAGCAGGCTTGACAGCGCTCTTCAGGGTATCCATGCAGATACCCTCAGTGTGCTAGATCAGATGTTTCTGTTCTCGGTAAAATATTCTCATTTTCTTCCCTCCCTATGTTAATTTTAATTGAAAATATGTTTGATTATTTATTCAAATACGTATAACACAATTAAACATGGACAAACAAATGATTTAGTTCAAAGTATACTGACAGCACTGCAATGAGACTCCATGCAGTTTAAAATATTGGATGATTCACCTCACCGCATTAATGCGGTTATGGCGTTAACGCGGCACATCTCTGTTAGCAAGTTGGCGCGGATCGCCCCGTGCGTAGGGCTGCACGGCGCTAATGCATTGACGCCGTGCAGCCCCACGCACGGGGCGATCCGCACTAACTCGCTAACAGAGATGTGCCGCGTTAATGTGGTTATGGCGTTAACACAATTTTAACGAGATTAACGCTGACAGCACCAAATATTTTTAAATAAACACATAATTTTACTAAATCTTCATTTAATTATGCCTTTAATAGATTACATCCAATTTTAAACAAGTTAAATAATTATTTACTTTATTCATTTAGACACTCTTGGCATGATCTTTATGGGATCAAACTCAAATGAGCTGGGGGCCACTGCTGGCACTGTCATCTCACTGGAGGGCCACTCTAGTGTTTGACTAAAAAAAAACCCCCAAAAGCTGCACTTACTTTGCAAATATAAATTACAAAAGAAATGGTTGCCTTAATTGTGGAAAAAGCTAACAAAGTAATTCAAGACCCAAATTGCATGAGATTTTTTTACATCAGTATATTTTAATGTGCTAAAACTATTGCAAATGCCACAGAAAAATGATGCATAGACTTTATTATTTTTGTTGTTTTTACCTTCTGCTGTATGCCAAAAAAATATAAGCATGAGAGAGAGAGAGAGAGACGAAAGAATCGCCCGTTTTAATTTTAGGAAGAGAGCTGCTCTTAAGTACGGAGGTGTGATGTCATCTCAAGTCCCATACATATACTGAGCTCTGCCGACTCCAAGCCCAGACAGAGACGGAGCAAGAGGGAAACACGCCGGGCTGCTCCAAGGATATCACGCACATACTGATTCATGCAGATGGGAGAACCGACACACCGTATTCAGGTAAGAGCCAAAATGTGTTTTAGGGGGTTGCCTTGAGCATATATAGCTATACAAACACACAGAGCAGCATGTGCAGCATCCATCCTCATCACAGGAACACAACACTGGCATGATTCCTGCACTACGCGTGTGTCTGAACATGAATACACACAGAGCTTTGACATCATTACGGATGTGAAGGTTAAATTGAAGCTGGGATGCATTTCTTGAGACACCACATGTATTGATGAATAATTAAGTGTCCCGTAGGAGCAGTTGAATATAAACCAGTATCAGTACAGTGACAAATGAGGACAGCAGAGGAGTCTTAAAGCCTGGCTTTAAAGAGGGTGGCCCCTGCTGTGTCCATTCACTGGGATGGGATGGGTGTGGCATGTAGCAGCAGACCACTTGTTCTCATCATAACAGGCATTTTTTTTTTTCACCCTTGGAGCTAATGGCTCTCTGTGCACCACCCAGATTCTGCTGATGGAGCTTTGACAGTAGATTCGGGTGGTCTGGTACAGAAGAAAATTTCACTCAAGCATGGAAATATGAATGTCGACATTCATATCGCGAACAGCCTGGGTCAGCTGCACAGATTTAGTTTTTTTTGTTTTTATAGAGTGCACAGAAAAAACATGTTTTTCATTATATGAAAGCAGCAGTGTAATGTAATTAGCCAGAATCACTCTTGTAGGAGTGCCCTGTGTTTTTTTCCCATAGCTATAAGGAAAAAACCTGGATCCTGCCTGGTTCATGCATGTATTTTTAATTCAGATTACGAACACTTGAGCGGTTACCCCATTTCTGCTGTCCTCACAGCACCCCTGTAGGTGTATATTTGTTTTTGCAGAACCTTCATGTTTTTCAGACATACAGTTATGTAAAAACAAAAATACAGCCTCTTACATTTCTAAGATTTTTACATATCAGGACATAAAAAAAATAATTTGGGCTTCATCAGGTTCTACAATTCCTCAAATATAACTTTAAACACTCTACAGTGTTGCTGCAGTTCATTGGGGTTTGTGGGTATTTGTTCATGCACAGTTCTCTTAATTTGCCACCACAGCGTTTCAGTCAAGTTGAGGTCTGGACTTTGACTGAACCACTGCATGACTTAGAGTCTTTCTTTTTCAGCCATGTTGTAGATTTGCTGCTGTGTTTGCAGTCATTATGCTGTTGTTCTGTTGATCGAAGCTTTAGCTGTCAGACAGATGGCTTCACATTTGACTCTAGAATAATTTGGTACATAGAGGAGTTGATGAGCAACTCAGTGGCTGCAAAACAAGGCGAAATCATCACGCCTCCACCACCGTGCTTGACACTTGGGGTGTCCTGATATGCTGTGTTTGATTTTCATTAAGCGTGGAGCTGTGCATTACAGCCAAACACCTCCAGTGGACATTGTTCCAGAAGTCTTGTGGTTTATTCAGATGAAGCTTTACAAACTTGACCCATATTGACCCATCAGTCTTTTTCTATTAATATAGTCATAAACTTTAACATTTAAAATGCTAACCAAGCCCTGTAAAGTCAGATATGTAGCTGTTGGTTTGTTTGTTTTTTACTTAATTTGAAGTTTCTCTGAGCATT